TTTAATTACTCAAATAAATATCAAATGCAGTAGACTCTACCCATCTTTTCAACCATGCACATGTACAAAATAGATCACACATACACACACAAATAAATAAATCAAATACTGGTACACTAACATAACTACAGTCGACTACAGATGGGTTGATGTCGTTAAGGGGAGTTAAAAAAAAGATCAACTCACTCCAAGTTCAACTTAACCACTGGAATCTTTTTTTAGTTTTTAGTAAGAGTTTTACAGCACTTGCAGCACAATAAGATTATAGTAGTGCCGAAGAATAGATTATGGGTTACAAGAGAGTAACATACACAAAAAAGAAGGAGGGGAGATAAGGACGACAGATGTTTGATAGGAAAGAAGGAACAAACCACACCAGAGCACCCGCCAACCACCCACCATTGGAATCTGTAGAGAAGAAGAGGTGCTGGGACCCGAGAAAAAAATAACTTAACCAAAGATCAACTCAAGTGAGTTCAACACAAGTGGAGTCGCCTGTATTCATAACATATTTACAGACCTAGGCTACTCTTGCACCCATCTTTAGATCCCATAATATGCAGGTATACGTACGTTCAACAAACACAAACACCCACTTCCAACAAATAACCATCACATAAAGGTATTGCTATCAATTCAAAGACTCTACAAACAAAGTTTTTCACAATCGAAACAGCTGGGTAGAGTGCAAAAAACAAACTACCTGAACATACATAAAATATTATTTAAATTAAAGCAGTACAAACAGCTGTACATCATTTTATTTACAGGTACTGTACAAAAGCAACAACTCCAACGATCAAAAAAAAAATCTGGTATTCCTCACAAACCAATGACAGTTCAAACAGCCAATCTAGACATAAGTACAAACACATCTTTTTCCAAAGCTCGTACAACAGATCCACACACAGAAGCAAACATTCATGTTGTAAGTTCACAGATACATCTCTATTATGCAAACATTGTTCATGATGCTTCATATCATAAGAGGAGGCCAAACACTCCGTCACCCCCTGGGGCGGTGCCACTGACTGAAGTGTCTTTAGGCCATTCCCAAAGGGACGACATTTCTCGTTCTAATGCACAGTAGAATTGTAAATGGGCTGATCCAACAATGTCATGCTCATAACTGTGCCTGAACTACAACAGGGAACTGCTGCTTTTTCTTTCCTTATCCTTACTATCGTCACATTTTTCCTCTACTTCTTTTGTATGTCTGTCACTCTTTTGTGAACTGTTATTTCCTGGGTGCCTTGATAGTCGAAGCAGACATTGTGCTGTTGAGGCTAGAGAGGTGAGCAGAGTAAGCCTGATTCTCTGTTTGGACTTATCATCTGTTGACATTCACCCCTTGGCGCTCATAAGACCTTATGCGGTTGCGAGCACCGTAAAACCTTACTAAAACCAAACTAAAACACTCCCTCTGGAAGCTAACATAACGCATGTAGAAGCAAATATTCTTTTGTTTTTAGTTTAAGTAAGAGTTTTATGACACTTGCAACACAATAAGGTCATATAAGTACCGAAGATTAGATGTATAACAAAAAAAAAAAAAGAGGAAAGGTCAGTGTGAATAGTATGATAGATGTTGTTTGATGATAGGGTAGAAGGAGCAAATCACGCTAGAGCACTCACCAACAACCTTGTTTGTTTGTTTGAGTAAAGAGAAGCACACTGACACAGTACCTGTGATTTAGTTCTGGGGAAAAGTAAGACAGACAGACAGAAACAACAGAGGGAAAGTAAAAAAGTACGACCTACTAGTTGTGTCCTCCAACTAAGCGTGCCAACAACCTGCACAAATATTCTTACCGATAGATTCGAGTGATAAACGGCAGTACCGGTATAGAGGCAAAATGACTATCACCAAAGATTAATAGCTCAGAAGCAAACCTTTCCCAAACATCACACGACACTAGCACATATCACATTCTTTATTATTTTTTAAAATTTTAGTAGTGTTTTACGGCACTCGCAACTGCATAAGGTCATATGAGCGCCAAGGGGTGGGTGTCAACAGAGAAGTCCTTACAGGGAATCAGACTTGCTCTGCTCACCTCACTAGCTTCAACAGCACAAGGTCTGCTTCGACTATCAAGGCACCCCGGAAATAGCCGGTCATAAGAGTGTGACAAACATACAAAAGAAGTAGAGGGAAAATGATGATAGTAAGGATTAGGAGAAAAAAAAAAAGCAAATATTGTTTTGTTTTAGTTTAAGTAAGAGTTTTATGGCACTTTGCAACACAATAAGGTCATATAAGTGCCTAAGATTAGAGGTGTTGCAAGAGAGTAACAAACACAAAAAAGGAAAGATTAGGACAAGAAGTGTTTGATAGGGTAGAAGGAGCAAATCACGCCAGAGCACCCGTCAACAACCTTGTTTGTTTGTTTGAGGAAAGAGAAGCACACTGACACAGTAACTGTGATTTAGTTCTGAAAAAAAGTCAGACAGACAGACAGACAGAAACAACAGAGGGAAAGTAAAGAAGTACGACCTACTAGTGGTGTCCTCCAACTAAGCGTGCCAACAACCTGCACAAACATTCTTACCCAGGCTTGCCAACTTATGAGATACTGAATTCTGGAATTTTAATTGCCCCGGAGCGCCACGGACACACACTTCTGTGATAGGCTACTAAAACTGCTAAAATAACCAACCACCCACACCTCAAAAACAGTTTAAACAAACCCGTAGAGAAACAGAGAGAGAGTCAGAGATGCGGTCTCGGGAAAGGTTCGTGAACAACGATGGCAATTCAGGAATTTCCCGAAAAATTCAGGAAGGTTGGCAAGCATGTTACCGATAGATTCGAGTGATAAACGGCAGTACCGGTATAGAGGCAAAATGACTATCACCAATGATGAATCGCACA